TTAAACAAAAATTGTAGTTTGTTAAAATAATCTTATATGAATAAGACTGCTCTGAAACTTTTTAAACTAAAAATAGAATATCCACTATTGATCATTTCAGTGTATGTCAAATAATTTTCATTACTTTAAGAGTTGTAAAATGTTCTATTTATTGTTTACTATCTCATTGTTTGCCATTTCAATTACATGTAATATTAAATTTATGAAAAATAATTATCTTAAAGTATATAACTATTTATCAATTTATCTATTTTGAAGAATAATCAGATATTACTATAGAGCATGTTGACATAGGTAAAATTGCTTGATTGAGTACATTTTAATTTTTAAACTTATCAAATTTTTCAGTATTACTATACAAAAACATTGGAATTCAATTATTCTTTGAACCTGTTTTAAAGGTTAAAACCTGTTTTAATGATTTCTATTTTTGGCCTGTGTGGTAAGAGAACATATATTCTTGCCATTTTTATTTGCATGAATCTGATCAATTAGATTTACTTTTCTATAAGAAACATAAATGGCTAACTATCCAAAATGAAGCTTATTAAGGTAATGTGAGATTGCTTACAGAAGAACTGTGGGGAAAATGAACTATATTTCAGAAAGAAATCAATAGGCAGTAGGAGGATATAGTATCTTAAAAAAAATTCCTGGGAAGCTCCTGGAAAAAATTAATTCTACCTACATGTAGTGCGTGCATTTTTTTACCCAAGAAAGAATCTTTGTAGTCAGTCCTTCGTACTCCTATGTCATATCCTTACCTATTCTGTCGTGAGACATCTTAGCAAGTGAGTGTTCAGATGGCTTGTTTCCTCAAAGGCAAGTGAGGATACTCTAACCTGAGTGTGAAAGAATTGGTGACAGCTGGGAAAAAGCAACTGGCATCTACCATCGTTCATCATTGGACTGTCCAATATCTCTATTTGTCTAAAAATATAATGTGAAATACCATACAGCTTAACTTAATATTAAGCATGATTTAGAAGGCATTCAAATGACCCTAAAATGTTGAGTATACTGAGTCTCACCCTACTACTGTATCCAACTTCAAGTTTGGATTTACAGAAACATCTTGGGGATTTATTTTTTATTTCTTTCTCTACTTGGCTGCAGTAACATAAATGTAAGGAGAAAATGATTAATTTTCAATATGATTCTAATTAATGATATTTTAAATAACAAATAAGGAAAGTCATGTAAAATGAATGATCCTAGTTTTGCAACTTGTTTAAAGTTCCAGCGCCAATTCATGTCTTATTTGAGAAATATTGCCAGTGGAGTGATTTCAGTATTTTTAACTATTTGAAAATTTGGTAGTCTTGTTTGGATAAAGCTGAATTAGTGTTTTATTTATCTTTATGGTAGCCATGTTATGCATGGCAGTTTTCAGATATTTCAAGACCTCCTCAAAGCTAATTGGTCTTATTGCACTTCCTTTTCCTTTTCAAATGGTAAGATAGGTCATATGAATTTCTCAACCATAAATTGTGGGCAAAAGAATGTGTTCCCTCTCCCTTTTTTGTGTCACACTGGCCAGCAGTATTTCAAATATCACCACTTTCATTTCATGGATCACAGAGTAAAGAAAGAGAGATAAGTGCATGTTCTTTCCCCCATGATTCTACAGCTCCATGTGGGACCCCATGATTCTACAGCTCCATGTGGGACCCCATGATTCTACAGCTCCATGTGGGCTACTCAATCTAGGGTTCTTATTACTGTATACAAGCTAGCCCAAAGTGATTATCTAAAGGCTATCTAGAGACTCAGAACCAACCTTAATTATTAGGATTTGTTCCTGTAGAACTCCGCTCCTTTAGTACCCAATGCATTAGCCTGGGCTTTCTAAAGGGAAAGAAAAAAATCAACGACACTTACGCACATATAAGAAATACATTTATAACAAGAAAAGGGTCCACACAGCCAAGGATCAAGCCAGCAATGGGATTCAAGTACACGAATCAGCTGCTAAGATGGAGTCCTTCCACACTCTACAGCTCGCAGGCCAGCAAACCAGGGGCAGAAGACCCAACAGGCCAGTGCAGGGAGAGGAGTGGATACAAGGCAGGCCCCATGGCAGGCCACTGACAGTTTTCAAGAAATATAGAATATATTGTGGCCTGCCAGAAGAATAAACACATCTATTTGGGGAGAAGTACAGCCAGAACGCTCGATGGAAAGGAAGAGGATGAGACTTTATCTTGTGTTTTTTGAGCATTTTGCCAGACGGACCAGTCCCTGAAGAAGGATCCTACTTGATAATGTGGAGGGTCTATTTAAAAGAGAAAGACCCTCAACTGGGTAGCTTAGCACAGAGATTGTAAAGATGGACTTCAAACATGTGAACATGTTTGTGTGTGTGTGTGTGTGTGTGTGTGAATCCAGGTAGACTAGAGAAACAAATGCATAAACACAGATATGTGTATAAGAAAATGCTTTATATACAAGAGCAATTGAATATTGAGAAAATGTCCCAGCCAAGTCTAGATGGAGTCTGAGTTCGATCAGCCCAAATGTCTGATACCTATCTATAAAGTCCTCTTCAGACTCACGAAACACGTGCAATGATGCCAAATGCAGGAAGATCACAGCCAGTGGGTGGAAAGTCTTGTGGATCTAGTGGCAGTAGAAGCATCTCAGCACTGGCAGGGAACTCCATGTGGCTCCTTCAACTCCAGGGCTGTAGCACAGCTCTGTATGTCTTGTCAACAAGCATGTCTCACAGGGAGTGAGTGAGTGTCCCACCTCCAGGGAGCTATTTATCTCCTTAGTGCTTCCAAATTAGGTCATCAAGCTGCGACCTGATTGACAGGCTAAACTCCACCCCTTCACTCTTAAATCTCCAACTGACAACAGATTATGTAACTACCACATCCTCATACAGTGTGTGAGGACGGCACAGTACTGGGTTGCATTTAGTTTGTTTTATAACTGTAGGGTTAATATGAGTTGGAAACAACTACAGGGCATTTAACATGGCTTGTCCATAAATTGGTCGACTGTTGAGATTTATTGTTATTGCTTGCCATTGAATCAGTCCCAGCTCTATCTGGCTCTACTTATAACAGAAGGAAACATTGTCCACTGTGTTGGGCAAACATTGAGCTTCTTTTCTCTGACCTTCTGCATTACAGAGCACAGTGATGTGTCCTCCTTTCATGACTAGTCTCTCCTTTAAACATGTCCAAAGCATATGAGGCAAAGTCTTGGCATCTTCACTTTTTAGGGATGGTGTCACCATACTTCTTCCCAGATAGATTTGTTGGTTCTTCTGGCAGGGAATGGTATATTCTGTATTCTTTCACTACCACCCTTATTCAGAGGCACCGATTCTTTCGTGTGTGTGTGTGTGTGTGTGTGTGTGTGTGTGTGTGTAGTCATTGTCCACCTTTGGCAAACCCATGAAGAGAATGAAAACACCAAGGCTTCAGTCAGGCATACCTATTCCTCAAAGTGATAT